TGCAAAGAAGGAGGCCAAAGACCTAGACTAAATAATTCTTGGTTAAACAAGAGGTTCGATGTAATTGTCCTAAGACCGCTAGCGCTTTCTAAGCGAACGACTTCTTGACTCTCAACGCAATCGTGACCAAGCCAATCTCCCAGTCCCAAAAGATTGTTTTATTTCAATACACATGTGCATTCACACTAGAAACAGTATTAGATATATTTGTTAGTTAATATTATTTTTTATTTAAATTAAGTCAAAATTGAAAAAAAAATATGAATTACATTATCAATATTTCAGTTTTTGGATAGTTCAATGTAAGAAATTATAAATTATTTGGAATTTAGTGTCGCATGAGAATTCAGAGAATGATCCAATATTCGGCTATCATTCTTTTGATATGTACGGTAAAAAAAAACGGTACTAGATATATTTGTTAGTTAATATTATTTTTTATTTAAATTAAGTCAAAATTGAAAAAAAATTAAATTACATTATCAATATTTCAGTTTTTGGATAGTATGTAAGAAATTATAAATTNGATATGTATGGTGAAAAAAAAAAAAGAAAAAAAGTTGGCAAGTACTCATTAAGGTTGAATCAACATATACAAAATTTCAAGGTAATAATTCAATCTTTGGGTCAAATTTCCTCATTAACCTTTTTATTTCAAGGTAATGATTCAATACTTGGGTCAAATTTCCCCATTAATCTTTTTATGGCATTGTCGGTGTGCAACAACTTGAGCAGTTAATAAAATGAATCGTTCAATTCGTGAACTCAGTTCAAATTCAGACAGCCCGAGATAAAACTCGTCAAGGTTCATTAGACAAAAAAAAAATGAGTTTTATTTACATAATTTTTGGAGTCATTTGTTTAACTCAACCCTTTAAGACTTGAGTCGACTAGTTCATTCTCATTTACTGACTCGAAAACACTATAAGCATCAGAAATTCGAGTTCGGATTGAAACACCAAATGCGATTTTAGGAGTGCTCGGACTCGGCATGCATTGAAAATCTTTTTAATGGAAAAATATAATAAAATAAAATAAAGAACCATCTTATGACCTTTTGTCTTGGTCTACTTGCCAATTTTCTTGATGACAAAATAAGGAAATTCTTGTACAATTATATCCTATCTAATAATGGTGTGAGGATTTTCCAGCTTGGCTATTCAATTGTTGAATGCGGTCAAGTGGTTATTGTACCCAATGGGTCACAGGATTTGAGTAATAATATGTTTCTATNTTTTTTAAAAAAAAAAGAGTAATAATATGTTTCTATCCTATGTTGTGTAGAGTGTGCAAATTCAATCCCACATCGAAAAAAAAGGTTCCAAGTCCAAATATGTAAGTTTGGTGGACTACTCCTTTTATTGTCAATTGATTGTAGAATGAAACTCCATTTAAATTTGTATGTTGGGGCTTGATGGAGAACTGTCTTTTGAGTTGTTCGTCCTAACATGTTGAAGATCAATTTGGTAAAAAATTAATTATTTGAGTTTTGACAATCTTTTACTTTGTCGTTAGAAGAAAGTTCAGTTATTTTCAATTTTCTTGTTGAAAGTAAGAAAAAAATTTGTAGAATTATTTCCCTTTCGAAACTTTTTGACTTATAAAATTCGTGTTTCCATGGGCGTGTTAGGAGTTTTTTTCTTATTCTATCAAGCACATATATTGTCTCCCTTTATTAGTTTGTGTGTTAAGAAAATACAATCAATTTTAGTTTTTTAAAATAACATTTTCTTACTTCTATCAAAGTTTAAAATGATTTATTCTCCATTTACTTCACTTTATTCATAAATATATCATTACATTAATAAATACACCTATCATCAAGACAATATAATAGAAAAAATGTATAATTCTCTATGATTTTGTAAAACGTGAACGACAAAATAAAATAGATATAATTTTGAAAACCGAGAAAAAAGTAAAAAGTGCGAATAACAAAGTAATAATGTCAACATAATTTTTTATATATAATTCTCCAATATGTTTAGCTTAAGTGATAGATTCGCATGTTTTACAAATAATTTTGTGCTTCAAATTGATACATAATTAGTTTCTTTTGTAAAGTGACAATTAGAATGTTAACGTAACTATCTGGTCCTGTTGTACCTTATTTGAGATTTTATAATAAAATGAGAAAAATAATAATAATATGTTTCAATCGTGTTAAAAGAAATAGTCTTTTTTTTAAAAAAAAATTTAAAAAACAAGTTTGGCCGCTAATTTGGTTTAGTTATAATATTTTTTACATATAATAAGGTGATGCAATAATTTGACTAGCCAGAATTCAAAACATGAATGTTTTTTCTAACACGAGTCTCGCGCGTTACAACTAAAATTCGCTTAAAAAATTAAAAGTGTCATAAATCAACTGTCGCGGCTCCATCTTTAGGATTCTAGCTAATTAGCTATACCACGCACAAACATGTATAAATCTCCCACCCACCCAAAAACCTCACATTTCCACCCCTTGACAAGAACTTTCAAGTTCTCACTAAAAGCCCCAAACCAATTTATTTTAGTTAGCCATGAGTACTATTAATCTTGTTGCATCCCTAGCATTTCTCCTCCTCATCCTCCTCCTCCTCTCCACCACCACCGCCCGCCCAACGAAAACAAACCCGACCACCCTCCGCCCGAGCACGAGGATTCCATTGATTGACTTGGACAGTTCGTCCAACTCTAGCTCGGAAGCTCGGTTGAGAAGAGACGCCGCCCGCATGGCCGCCTTGGTCAACCAACTCTCCAAGGAAGAGTTTTCGTCTATCAGGGGCGCGGTAGCCGTGAACATCAGCGTTGGCACCCCGGCCATGGTACAAACCCTGGTGGCGGACACAGGTAGTGATCTCCTATGGCTGCAGTGCAAGTCGTGCGACGAATGCATGGATCAGCCCAACCTGCCGTTCGACCCAGCCGCGTCCAGCTCGTACCACACAGTCCCCTGCGCGACCTCCAGCTCGGATAACCCCAATGCCTGCGACCAACTCAGTGTTTCCATGCGCGGGTGCGACACCACCAACGACGTCTGCACGTACTTTTACTTCTACGGGGACAGTTCCTACTCGAAAGGAACCCTAGCCCTCGAGAACGTCAAGATCAACAGCGACATGGTGGTCCAAAATGTGTCCGTCGGCTGTGGCCTATCCAACAGTCTCACCGCGGCGGCAGAAGTCGACGGGGTCCTCGGCCTGGGCGACGCGGTGGGCTCGCTCGTGGGCCAGTCGGGCCGCGTGTTTAGCTGCTGCCTTGGTGGAACAAGTGGTGGGTGGATCGATTTCGATAGGTCCGCGGACACGTTCCAGATAAGGGACGACGGCGACGGAGGGGCGATACTCGACACGGGGACGACAATCACGATGCTCCCGGAGGGCGCCTACGTGGCGCTACGGGATCTGTTCCGGAGGAATATGGGGAATGCGACGCCGTCGTCGTACAACTACCTCGACACGTGCTATCAGCAGAACGAGTTGGGGACGATACCGACTGTCTCGTTGTACATATCGGACCAATCGGACACGAGCATTACGAGTGAGAATCCGATGTTCATGGTGCAGGTCGATGATATGGGTGGAGTTCTGGGATGCCTTGCTTTCACCGTGTCACCGTTGAACCTTACGATAATCGGCAACATTCAACAACAAGGGACTCAGATCACTATCGACGCGTCGAGCAACAATATCGGAATCGGGCCTGACTGCTGAATGATTTTGTGTTTTTGTATCCGTGAGACCTTTATTTTGTTTTATTTTATTTTTGTTTTCTCGCTTTTGGCCATTCCACACAAATGCAATACGTATGTAATGAGATTAGTAAGTCGTTTATGCTTAATTTTGGGCATATATAGTAATGCACACAAATCTATCTATACTAGTACACACATTCGATATACACGACTACAAAAAAAACTGCATTTGGCGACGCTTCTTTTTTTGTTTAATGACGCTTATTGGCGAGTTGTGTTGCTAAATTTGATGTCAGAAAAAAATAAGCGTTAGTAAACAGAAAAATAAGCGTCGCCAAATGCAGTTTTTCTTGTAGTAACGGAATAACAATATTGAAAATAATTTTATTATGGTTATGATGCGAGAAAAGAATATAAAAAATAATTTTATAAAAATAAATATCATGTTAATATTAATAGTAATTTTATAAATTAAATATTGGGCTATATAAACATGAATTATTATTATATATATATATTTTTTTTAATAAGTCACACAATTGAAGAACTTTTATATAAAAAAATAGGAATTATGTTGAATAATACTTTTTTGGGAGCTGATAAGTTTCAATTTGTGGTGGAAAAGTAAAATAGTAGAATTGCTAAATAAGTTATATTTATTTATTTTTAAAATATTTACCGTCGTTACATCGGAAATATCTGTTGTGATTTAAATACTATTTAATTATGTGATAATTATTTTATTTATTTTATATAAATTAAACTTAAAAATTATTTAAATATAATAATAATTTTAAATTATAGTATTTTAATTAAACAAATGAAACCAAAAGACATAGTCCAATTTATAAAAAAATAAATGTTGTATGTTTGCAATAATACTAATATGTATACAACTTTTGAAAATTAGTATAATGTGATAATTATTATATATCCTTCCAAACATTATTCAATAATATGAATTAAAAAAAAATCAATCTAGTCTAAGTTTTATAGTATTGTCTATTTTCAAAAATAAAATAATTTAAAATATTATTTATTAATTTTATTTCAAAAATCCATAAATAAAAAAATATATACATTTGTCTTCATAAAAAATATGAAAAATTTAATGATAAATTTGGCATTAAATTAAGTAAGAACCGATATTTGCTCTCACTGATTTATAGCCTAATAAAGTTTCAAAATACATTGTATAATTTGTTTCGCATCTCATTTTTTATGAATTAATTATTAAAATTATTATATTCTTGTTAAGTTATCCGATTAAATTATCATAAAAAAATCAATTAAAACTGTAATTTGAAACGAAAAATCCAAAATTTAAACTGTAAAAAAATTCAAAACTGGTGAAAGAATAGTATATTATTATATTTATATTTTATATTTTATTAAAAAAATAATCTAATGTTATTATTATATATTTATTTTATACAACTATATTATAATATAAATTATATAATTTATATTGCATTGTTATTATTATATATTTATTTTATAATACAGCTCCATATTTTTATGTACATTAAATTAAATGTATGATTATTAAAAAGTATATAGTGCCCCTCAAAATAACTTTATGGATCCGCCCCCGGTCAGCAGCGTGGTGGAGAGGTGACGAGCTTGGTCGAGCAGCTCCTTCTCAACAATGGCGGTTGGCGGATGCACGTGAGAATGAAGAAGATGGCTTTCTCTCTCCTTCAATATTTTAGCTTTCAATTGACCACTTTGCCCTCAACTTAATGGACTCTTGGGCCAGCCCACTCCTAAGTGTGTTATCTTGGGCCACTAATTCATCTTGGAATATATAGAGGAATTTGCACAAGGTATGGTCCCTTTATTTTTTTATTACATAAATATAACACCTTAAAAAATATTAGCATATTAACATAATCTATTGATTTTATTGCACAAAAATACCACATTAGAGATTAAATCTGGTGAAATTTTGTTTATGCGTAATTAAAGGTAAAAACTTATCATTCCAAATAACTCTCCTTCTTCTACAAGTTTATATGACGCGAGTTTTTTTTTTCTATTTGTGGCTCCTCGACAACTTGCTGTCGGAGAGAATCGAGCGTGCTATCCGCGGACTTTTGACTCATAAAAGTAGTTTTTCCATTGGTGTTGGGAGTTTCTTTACTCATTCTATCAAGCATTTATTGTCTCCCTTTATTAGTTTGTGTATTAAAAAAATAAAATCGATTTTAATTTTTCAAAACAACATTTTCATACTTCTTTCAAAGTTCAAAATAATTCATTTTCCATTTACTTCCTTTTACTCATGAATATATCATCGCATTAATAAATACACCTAGCATCAAGATAATAGAACAAAAAGTCCAGTTATTTTCAATTTTCTTGTAAAGGTGAACTGATTATGACAAAAGTATATTTTTATTTATTTTTTTCATATGAATTAAAAGTTGTTTACTTTTTTAATTTCTTTTAATTTCAATGTGGAAGATCAATTTGGTAAAAGATTAACTATTTGTATTTTGACAATAAGTCTAGTTATTTTCAATTTTCTTGTTGAAAGACAAGATAAGAAAAAAATTACAACCCGGGAACCAACTGATTCATAAAAGTAGTTTTTCCATGGGGTGTTACGGAGTTTTTTTTCTTATTCTATCAAGCATATTGTCTGTCTTCCTTTATTAGTTTGTGTGATGAAAAGATAAAATCGATTTTAATTTTTTAAAACAACATTTTTATACTTCTTTCAAAGTTCAAAATAAATTTTCCATTTACTTCCTTTTACTCATAAATATATCATCACATTAATAAATACACCTAGATAATAGAACAAAAAAATGTATAATTCTCTATGATTTTGTAAAACGTGAACGAGAAAATAAAATAAACATAATTTTAAAATCGAAGAAAAGTAAAAGTGCAACATAAATAACTCTCACGCGCAACTTAAATTCACTTGAAAATATAAGTACAATACTAAAATGTATATACTTACATTTTTTATTTTCAATATTTCTTGACTAACCACCTTCAACCCACTAATTTATCCTCACAATTCTAAGCATAAATAATTGACAAATAGAAGATGTAAGGTTCAATAAACTCCATTTTATAACTAACGAGGTAGACGATGAATTACAAAATAAACACACACACATATATATAAATGTTTATATTTACCATAAAACGTAATATTTCTCATCAAAAGAATTAATTACTTAATAAGTAATTTTTTTAAATATTCTTTTTTATTTTCTCTGTTTTCGTTTGGTAATTTCTTTTTTTTACCGTTTTGAGGCTTTTATTTTAAATCTAACACATTTATATACTAGCACTCTATATAGGCCTTTAGATTGTTGACGCCTCTCCACACGCTTATGGATAGAGTTGGACGTCGATGTTGTCACCACCCTACTGACATCATGGTTCGAAAAATCGGATTCCACCGGTTCAATGGGAACATGCCATCATACGGGTGCGATTTGAGGTATTTTTTAAACCGTTTGGGATCCAAACAGGTCAAAGACTATTCGAACCGATTAGAAACCGGTAAAACTGGAAAATCAGAACCAATTGATTTCTAATTTCAGTTTTTTCTACTGTAGGCGTAAACCTTACGCCAATAAAGTATGTACTCCCGACTCTCGAGATTGGAAGAATTTGGGAAATTAGTTAGATTTGAGGAAATTAAAATTTTTTGATTACATATTGGAGTTTTCCTGTGGTTATTATTTCACAATTAAGTTAGTAATACATTATAAAATTAATAATAAATATATGGGCAATTATGTACTAATATTATACATATAAAATAAATAAAAAATATATATTAATTAAAATCGGTTTGACCACTAGTCCAACAAGTGAACCATTGAACCGGTAGCTTCACCGGTTCGATGACCGGTCCAGTTTTGAGAACCTTAGTTTTAATTGAACTATTTGTGAAAAAGTAACAACGAATAATGAAAAGGATAATTTTCCAGTAAAAAAAAAAAAAACCAATACTCAAAATTAAAAGCAATTCAGGTTTTCTACTAACAATAATTTCCTCACTCATCATCATCATCGTCATCGTCATCGTCCTCATCACCATTTCCTGCAGCAGCATTCAGAGCATTCAACCTCTCGATCAACTTGGCCTTCCTCTCCTCGTATGTCAACTTCTTTAGGTTGAATCTGCAAAGGTATTCCAATCAACGTTAATTATGCAGTCTGATCTCAAACAATGATCCAATTAATGAATTAACTAATGTTGGAACAAAGCTAAGCTTTTTTTTTTTTCAGAACCAATGGTGCATCATGCATCCATGAGAATTTGTCATCACTAGTCTAAATATTTACCCGAAAAAAGAAACAATAAATGTTTCTGTCACTTTTGAAAGACAAAATGAATTTAACTGCATTTTGCTCTTGATTGATCAATAAATAAATTTCTGAGACATAAAGACATACATTCTTAATATATGTGTGAAACAAAAAAAAAAAGAAAAGAAAAAACGAACAAATAGAACTAACTAGAGGGAGCAAGTGACAATACGGAGAAGCATGTTTATCAATTATTTGTTTAAAAATTAACAAAATCTAACCTCTTGTGCTCCTTAGGTGGCTGCTTTTGTGATTTCTTTTCTGTGGGGTCAGCACGAATGGCCGCATGGACCTTCTTGTACAAAGCCTCAATGTTATCTGCTTCAACACCTTTCTTTATATACTGACTGAACACAGACTGGTACTTCTCCGGCTCATCTTCCATCAAAGTCTACACCATTTCGAAAACACAATTACTTTATGGCTTTCAAGGCTCATTAATCAATGACACTTATGTGGATTGATGGAGATTAGGACAACAGAATGGCAAAATCGGGGGTTTACGTTCATGTAAGCTGCAACATGGCCACCGTAGATGTACTTGCGATGCACTTCAGGATCGAGTTGCTTGTTGTCCTTGTTAAATCCGGCAAAGCGCTTATCACTGTGAGGTATATCAAGTCCACCATCAAGAGCACCCTGCATTGTTACAGCATTATATTCAAGAAAGGAAAAAACAAAAGAAAATAATACTCAGGGGAGAAAAAAAAAAAGATCGGAGTAACAAGCATCATCTTTCTTGAATGACACTTCATTTTCAAAAATTATTTAACCAAGGCAGCTAATACTGACAAATGAGCAACAAATTTGAGGCATCCAGATAAATTCAACAAATTTGTAGAAAAAGTTACCAAAATTGCCACTTAAAAGCAAGAATGTACCTTGAGTGCACCAAAGACACGGTTTCCAGTTGTAGTTCTCAAAAGGCCAACATCAAGGAGTGCGCGGAAGGGCCTCCTGCTCTCAGCTGGTTCCACAGAGTAATCTTCTCCAGTGGCCTGAAAGAAGTTCGACGTACACAAATAACACAGAATCAAACGTAAAAGCATTTGACCAAAACAGTCATACAAATGGACTAATATCAAAATTTTTTACCTCAACATTTCCTTCATACTCTTGATCCATCTCGAGCTTTTTCAGCACTCGGCGGGCCAGAAGCAGTCCAGTGCAGTAAGCTAGTTCACAAGGGAATATTTCAATTTCTAATATTGATGAGGAAAATAATAGTTTTTTCTAGTTTGTAGCTAATAAAAATGACAATACCAGCAGAATAATTTGTGAGGCCAACTTCAAGGCCATAACGGGGCAGCTCGTGTGCATAGGCAGCAGAGAGGACATGATCGCCAGTGATGCTAGCAGACACAATTTGAGCGATTATATCTTTGTTTGTCTAAAAGTTGAATTAAGGTACCCCAATATATGTAGGCTCAAGACAGCAAATGAACAATGGCAATATCATAATAACATGAAAATCCATCTTAAAGTAATATAATTTTTGTACTTAAGGGAAATTAACAACAAATCAAATAAGTGAATCACGTACTAAAATGTATGAAACATATTCATAGATTGGTAGAAATATAAAACACACACACACACATATATATATATATATATCATAAAATACAAATCATGCCATGATAACTTTACTAGTCAATGTGATAAGTATATCCAGGATCAAGGAACAGATGGCAGAAGAATTAGAAATCAATTAGATTTCACCATAAATAAATTGGCAAAATGAAATGTGTTATCAGGATACGAATCGCACAACAAATCGATACTTCGGAGTGTTGTACTTGTTCTTGTCCTGATTGATAAGACGAATCCTTGCCCGGTAATCAGTCTTCCCCTCTGGATTAGAAATTAACAAAGTCATTAGCTGTACAACTAAACAAATGAAAAAAAGGCAAGCAGTTACTGGTGTTTTACGCCTTCTTCTCTTGAATTTGACTTGGAAACGCTTGAAATATGCGTTCGACTTCTGGGCTTTGACAAATGCCTGCAAACAACATCATCCATCATTAGCAAAATTACAGACTTCCCATGGCAAAATCCTGCGGAAAGAAAATGCTCCAACAACCTACTTATCCTAAAATATTTTTTTCTTAGCCAAAAAGGCAAAACTAAAATTTAAACAGAATCAAAGGCCAGGTAAGCAGGGAGCCGTAGAACTTCCAAAATCATTTAGGAGAAAACAACAGTAATAACAAGCCATAGTGAGAATCTTTTCGAACTACAAACAGAGTTATGCACTTCATTTAAGCATTATGATATCGAGCTGCTTCGAATAATCAGATAAAACTAAAACAAGAACGTAGAATAAAACCCAACCAAATTCACGGCAGAAAACAAACGAGCTGCTCGACCAAATCCCCAAAACCCATTAACATGCGATGATTCAACAATGTTTTATTTTCAGTTATTAACAGCAAACGATTGATGAATGAACAATAATAAATGGGAATGAATATATTCTACTTTTTTTCACCATTTTCTTACCATTGCTCTTTGAGAAATCTGCAAATGGTCGAGGAGAAGCAGAGGGAGCTGCGTGAGACGCTAATAAGCGCTGAACCCTAAAAGCAAATTGGGCTGAGTTTGGGCTTACTTTTAGTTAAAAAATGTGATGGCGGATCCATCTACTTACTGACCCAGCCAATAGTATCTGAAAAAATTTACAATTCACCACTAAATTCCATTTTATTTGCATATTTATGATTTACTTATTTAATTTAAAATATACTCACTCTTGTTGTTCAATTAACAGTTAACTAGAAACTCATCTTTGTCATTTGTTTATAAATTACATTTTTTTTTTTTGTTCATGACTGGTTCATAAACAGTTTATGTATGGTTTATTTAGAATGTCGTATTATTACAACATATTTCAAAATGTGTAATAAATATGTAAAAAAGTTTCGCCATTATCTATAAAATTTTAAGATCACCATTTAATGGTGGAATTGAAAATAAAATTATATGTATATATAATATTTAGTTGTGACTTGATAAAAATAATATACTAATAATTGATGATTATAAAAAAGTGGGTGGATCCGTGGATTAATACTAATTTTTTGTAAAGAAGTGTTTATTAATTTCAATTTAAGAACTGTTTTCAACAATGTGAGTGATGTAAGTGAAAAATATAATGGAAAGATTGTGTATTTTTTTTTATTATATGGTTTTGGGAGTTTCCATCCCTATGAGAATTCAAGGCTAAAAATCGTTTAGGGAGAATGGTGAAAAGTATGATTATATAGTATCCGATTATATATATATTTGATTTTTGTTACCAATGTTTGTTTCTTTTTAGGAAAATTTAATTCTATTCTAGTTATATTCTAAGAATATTATTAGGTGGTTGACGACACTTGAAATTTATCTTTTGAGTTACTTATATTATTTGAATTAAATTGTAGTTATATACTTTAACTTCCTTTGCGAGTTTACATTACCTCCAAAAAGTAATAATTTTATTAATATGTTATGATTTATTTGTTGTATATAAAAGATTGATTCCATTAGCAAAATAATTGGGAACAAAACTACATATTAAATTATATTATATAATTCTTTTGTAAAGCCTAACACAAAAAGTATTTAAAAATTAAAACGTAAGAAAATTGAAAATAATAAAGAAAAATGAAAATAGAAACAAAATATTCATCACCTTAAAATGGGAGGGAAAACGACCCAACATGGCCGCCTATAACTGCGCAGCAAAGCATTCTCAGCCAACGCCGCCGTGATTTAAGTTCCACCACCAAACCCCAAACCCGAGACCACACCATACATTTCCAATTCCCAACAAAAAATTCAATTGATCGATCGATCGATTACAATCCACAGGCAGAAGAAAAAAATAGTAATAAAAAAAAATCATAGAGGATCCAGAAAAAGATGAGCGTTGAAATCGTTGACGGCCCGATCGTGGCTGCTTTCGTCGACGATGACTCGGGTGCGTTCGAGAAGTGGGCGTCGGAGAAGTTCCACGCGCTCGACGCCGACGGCGACGGCGTCCTCTCACGCGCCGACCTCGAGAGGCGGACCCAGGCGGAGTTCGAGCTGCAGTCGAGGGACGAGATCGCGGTGATCTACGACGTGCTGTTCGCCGAATTCGACGCGGATCGGAGCGGGACGATCGACCCGACCGAGTTCCTGACGCTGGCGAGGGAGGTCACGCTCGCCAAGGCGCGTGGGATCGGGAACTCGCCCGTCTGCGTTATTTTGCAGGAGGACAGCCTACTCATGAGGGCTGTGCAACGCGCGAGGAACCCCTGATTAATTAATTAATTTGGGTAATTTAGCCTTTTTTTTCATTTAGTTCTTAATTAATAAAAGCATTTTGCATTATCAAATCAAAGGGAAAAAATGGTAATTCAAATCTGAATTTCTGTACTTGACGAATGTTGAATATCTGGAAAAAAAGAATATGTACCAGATGTAATTTAAGTTGTACCCTTTTTTCAGTCTTAATATTAATATAATATACATTTTGGTTTCCAAAATTTTGGCTAGCGTGCATGATTGATTTTTTTGTTTGTTGTACTAATTAATCATCACTCGCTTGAGGTGAATAAGTTGGAGAAATGATATTTGTTTACGTCACCATGCAATCTATTTTATCAAAGGCTGTATTTATATGATCATATGATGCATAGGATAACTGAAGAACTATTTG